AAAAAGAATCTAAATAATTTAAGAGAAAATAAGCAAACCTAAAAATATAGACCATCTAATATAAAAAATGGTGACTATACTACATACCAAAACCATGGATTAACTTCCACTTACAATCAAAATGGAATATCAAGGACGAAATTTACCCTCCTGCTTGAAACAACCAATAGACAAAACATGAAACAAAAAATACAGACGAGTACGAAGCACAGTGATTCCTGAGAAACAGGAAATGAGGTGAGCCCCTCTGATGATCTCCTTAAGGCAAGGGTGGGTGTCCAAGCCGCGGCCCGCAGGCTGCATGTGTCCCAGGATAGCTATGAACGTGGCGCAACACAAAATCATAAATTTACTTAAAACACTATAAGCCTTTTTTGTTCTTCTGTGTCATATTGTGTTTAATGTGTGGCCCAAGACAACTCTTCTTCTTCCAATGTGGCCCAGAGACGCCAAAATGTTGGACACTCCTGCAAGGGAATTTTCACGCTGCAGGGTGGTGGGTGCAGTGTAGGCAGAGCCTGGTAAGATCTCTCAGTTGAGGAGATAAAACCAAAAGCTCAGGGAAACCCAAGGCAGCTAGAATGTCCACTACCCAGGACTGAAGAGGATTAATCTGCACTGGGAGAAAACTCCCAGAGATCTGCAGAATGTTTCCTCCAGTTTTTATGAGAGTGTGATTGGTACTCAAGTTTGAAGAAACTACCCAACCAGGGGAAAGCATTGTTCCAAAGAATCAGAGGGAAGAGTACTCAGCACTCACCTAGAACAGGGACATATATGTTCCCACTAGCCAGACTGGAAAACTTCTTAATTTACGGCAGACACCAGTTAGACTATTTGTTGCATCAGTAGTGGGGTGAATTAACCCTAACTGTCTTAAATCCTGCCCAACATATCTTTAATACAAGTCCTGAAAAGATAAAACTGTCTACAAGTAACTTAACTGTGTCCCAGAACAAAGCCAAGAATATTTATAGAAATACAAAATACCAAGAACCCAATAACATAAAATTCACAATGGCTAACATCCAACCAAAATTACATGGCATGCCAAGTAGTAGAAAAATACATACAATAAGGAGAGCCAACCCAGAACCGACAAAAATATTAGAATCAGTAAACAAGAACATTAAAAATACTATAAACTGAATCTATGTTGAAATATTTAAGATAGTGAAGATATGAAAAGATGCAAATTATGTATCAATTAACTCAGTGGGGGGTATTATCACACAATGTATATCAAATCACCAGGTCGTATACTTTAAACCTTACAATTTTGTCAACTGTACCAAAATAAAGCTGAAAAGTTAATAATGAGGAAAAAAAAGAGATCCAAATTAAACTTCTAAGGAGAAAAACTACAATGTCTAAAATAAAGATTATATTGTATTTGTTGATTAGACACTGGAGGAAAAAAAGTATTGGACTTGAAGACATAGCAATAAGAGAAAAGAGAATTTAAAAAATAAATGGGCATTAATGAGCCATGGGACATCAATCAGTATCGTATCAGAGCAACTGGAGTTTCCAAAGAGAAAAGGGAAGACAAAAAAATCTTTTTTTGCCCTGGCCAGGTAGCTAGCTCAGTTGGTTAGAGCATTGCCCTGACACACCAGTCAGGGCACATACAAGAATCAATTGGTGAATGCATAAGTAAGTAGAACAACAAATCAGTCTCTCTCTCTCTCTCTCTCTCAAATAATCAATAAAAAATTTTTAACTAATGGTCAAAATTTTCTAAATTTGATGGAAATGATAAACCATGCAGGTCAGTGAACCCCAAGCAAAAGGAACATGAAGAAAATTATATTAAGTCACATCATAATCAAATTGCTCAAAACCAGCCAGAAAAAATAAAACACTATGTATGTGACACATTTCTTATAGGAAAAAAAATTACAAGAAGACAGTGGAGCCACAATTTTTATAATATTAAAAGAAAAAAAACTGTCAACTTAGAATTCTACACCCAGCAAAAACATATTTCAAAAATGAAAGTGAAAAAGTTTTTAGACATACAGAAGCTAAAATAATTCATCACCAGCAAGCCTGCAATATAAAAAGTATCAAAAGAAGTACTTCTAGCAGAATACCAGATAAATGGATCCTCACAAAGGAAAGAAGAGCTACAGAAATGGCAACTATTGGAAAAATATGTAAGACTTTGTTATTTAAATCACCTTAAAATCTGTTTTGAGCCCTGGCTGGTGTAGCTCAGTGGATTGAGCGCAGGCCTGTGAACCAGACAATTGCGATTCGATTCCCAGTCAAGGCACATACTGGGTTGCAGGTCGGTTCCCTGCAGGCCAGTTCCCAGCAGGGGACGCACAAAAGGCAACCATACATTGATGTTTCTCTCCCTCTCTCCTTCCCCTCTAAAGATAAATAAATAAAATCTTTAAAAAAAATCTGTTTTGAACAACAAAAACAATGCAGCATGCTTATACAAATATAAAATGTCTAAACGGGATAGCTTCCAGCAAATGTGGGTGCAGAGGGAAGCTAAAAATATCAAAAACTAAAACTGAAATACAACTAGAGATAGTTTTACAAAAATTACAATACTACATACAATCATATAATTCTGAAAGATACCAAAAAATGGATAACTTTCTGAAAAGATACAAGGTATTCAAATTGTCTCCTGAGAAAGTAGAAAACCCAAATAGATCAATAACCATAAAGAAAGTTGAAAAGGGAATTAAAGAGTTACCTTTAAGATCCTGATAGTTTTATAAATGAGTTTTATAAACCAGTCTTAAAAAAAAGCATATAATTCCTACCGGGTGGGCCAAAAAGTTCATTTAGGTTTTTTCTGTAAAATAGGACACATTTTTCACTTTCACCAATAACTTTATTGATGTGGATATTTTGAGTATGTCGGCTATCTCCCGCGATTGACTTTTAATGGGTAGAGGCCAGAGGTGCTGCTAAATGTCTTCCAATGCATTAGATACCCCTACAGCACAGAATTATTGGCCAAAATGTCAATAGTACCAAGAAACTTTACAAGCCACTTTTGATGTGTTGGATCAGTCACAGCACCTTCTCCATACACTGCACAAACTATTTTTGCATGTTATTTTTACCTTTCTTGAAATAATAAATGATGAAAATGTTGCATATGTTCTACCATCTTCCACATTCAAACTGGTACACAAAAATTCACCAAGTTTGATGTTTTTTGATGTTTTTCATGCATACTGTATGACAGCTGTCATAATACAATCAAACAAAATTGTTTTGACTGAAGCTCAAGACAACTCAGCACTACTAGCCATCTTGGAGAAAAAAACAAATGAACCTGTTGGCCAACCCAAAACAAAACTAGCAGAAACATAACTTCAAAACCAAAATAAAATAAATAATTTTTAAAGAAAACCTAATAAATTCAGATCCAAACTTCTTAAAAACTTGAAAAACAAATAAAATTCTAGAGTGTTAAAAGCACAATATATGCAATAATGGTTAGGGATTAGCAAATCTATTTCAAGTTTTCTACGATGAAGCCTTTTTTTAAAATTCGATTATTTGATAAACATTCCTTCATCCATTCATCAAAAATATCAAGTATTCTGTATATGCTAGACACTGGATACTACAAATTCAGGTGTAAGATAAGGTCTCTGCTTTCAGAGATGTCCAGAGAGATACAAATAAAAAAGCTAAAATACAGTATAGAGAAATACAGGGTACTATGGGAATATACACATTGGTAATTAAACATTAGGGTGCTGTTGGAATAATCCTGTTGCAATGGTTGCCCATTCTAGGATGATGACAGCTGATAAAGGGAATATGGGCCTCCACAACATAATTAGAAAACAGTGTGGTTATAGTAGATTGGAAGGAGAACGTGTTACGTATAAAAGGGTAACAATAAGGGTCAAATAAATTTTGAAAATATGAGGTTAAGCATAAAGTTTCTTTACTGCTGTACTTGTCAGCAGCTTTATGGTGCTGTTACTCTCTTGACAGAAAGTCCCAGTTTTGGTGTGTATTTATGACACATTTGATTACACAACACTTATTATGCAGAGCACCATGGAAGCACAGTACTTCATAGAACACACTGGGAGAAACTGCTTTCCCACAATCTCCTCCTTTTAACTCCGGTAGTTTTGAGTACCAAGGTGGATTGTCTCACTAACTATATTCAACTCTTTGAGAATGTCTCATTCTATCACTTTACACAACAGTACATTTAGTTATGTTACTTTCAACTAGGTGGGTTTAAGTGAAAAAGATTCATTGGGCTTCTAGCTGATGTGGCTGAGTGGACTGAGCACTGTCCTATGAACCACAGGGTCAATGATCAGGACAGGATTGCAAGCCAGGTCCCCAGCTGGGGGCATGTGCAAAAGGCAACCGGTCAATGTTTCTCTCCCTCCCTTCCCCTCTCCTAAAAATGTAAAAATCTTTGATGAGATTCATTGGAACCTTACAAGGGATGAGCCCCAAAAGCCATTAAAAAGATTATTCTGAATCATTATCACCTGTGAATCAGTATGAACGACTCTGACCTACAGATTAACTGGCAACAGAGTAGTATTAAGCTTGGTTGATATCTACTGTATAAATGTCAATAGATTTTCACACAAATTGCTTGTAAATAACAGGCTCACTGGAAACAAATCCTTCTATAAAACTGCTTAAGAAAACAAACTTTTGTTCTTAACACTCTCTCTGACGAAGTTAGGTCCCTTTACCTAGACATAAAAATGGCTTGCATTTAAGAACAGAAAGCTTTAATGTAAATAAACTCAGAGACCGGGGAGATTAGTTCACAGTCCTTGGAATGATAATCCATGATAATCCATGTGTCACTGAAAATTCAACTCTAAAATATTAAGTTCAATATGTAAAAAAGGCATATTTCAAGATGCTTTAAAGAATTGACATTCTTCACACCAGGCAATCAATGGATAAAAGTATGCTGCTAACTTTTGTGTTCAGTAGCTCTAGTGACTTCAAAAACAAAAAAGAAAGACACACCCTTCCTTTTGCTTTCAATATATTAAAAAGTAACATAGTACAAATGCTGTAGTTATTAAAAAGAATCCAAATATTTCAAGAAATTTTTATAAACAAGTTCTATAATTAAAGGGAAATATTATCTTGATACATAAAAGTTTTTTAAACAAGATTTAAAATTTTTTACATCTAGAAGTGTTTAAAACTAAACTTTTTCAAATGTTCAAACAAAAAAACATGTACAATCCCCATAATAAAATGTATCCATGTACACACAGCCTGGGTGCTTTGAAAATTGTAAATTTTTAAAGTCTAAATGACAGAGGCAAGACTTACAGGTTTTGTGAATCCTTTCCTGAATAAGTACACTTTCAGTAAACCAATTTACCATTTTCTCTCACTGCACATTTTCATTTTTTTTCTTCCTGCAAAGGGGAATTTCCACTAACACTGTATTTTTTATATAAAAAAATACATTTAGAGACATTTAACTTCCTGAGTGACTGCAGTCATTCAGTCAAACATGATTTAATGAGGAAATTCTAAAATTTTAGAATGAAACAGCATGTGTAAATTTACACTTGTATGTCCAATTAGTATAAAACTCAAAAAGTATTTCACAGAACTTAACTTACATTCTCTCAGAGGTTAAACAATATGACTTATCCCCAAAATTTACCAATAAACCTTCTCAAATCAAATGTTATTAACATGAACCACTGAAATTACATTTTCTCTTTTATTAACAAAATACTATTGTATTTTAGACTATCAACTTGAGCGTTTTCTATATATACATAGAATGTGATTTACTAATAAGCAGGTTCTTGCAATACAATACATAACAGATAATTAAAATATTTGCTCTATAATACAACCAATTTATATAATACACCCATTCCTCAATTGTCGAAAATGACTAGAAATTGGGGCACTTTCTGTGGCATAAATCCCTTTCCTCTTCATGAAACCCTGAGGTGTAAGGTTATTAATGTAATAACTGGAACCACAATTCTTCTCATTTCTGTATTAGACTGTAGCTATAGATTTTAAAAATTTTATAAAGAAATGTAGCAACTTGTAAAACTGCTCTGTATAGTTTTAACAAAACATTCCCAGACCAGCTTAGTCAAAAGGGCCTGGGATGACCCTATAAAAACAATGTCCTCTGAACACTTGTTAGTTTCGAGATGAGTGCCATTTTCCAGGCCTACTACCGTCCCTTCTGTTATCATGGTCATGTTTCCAGCCCTCTTGATTCCTATCTTCATAGAAGAAATCATCTCTGTTTCCTCTGTAATGGTGGTCAGACCCGTGATCAGAGTAGCGCTGCTCACGGCTGTAATGTCTATCTGCTATATAGGGATGCGAAGCCTGTCTGACTTTACGCTGTGACGATGGTGTATCTTGACGCCACTGGGAGCTTGAAGACTGGTTAAAAGTGTGATTATGGGTCTGAGCTGATGGTGAAAATCCTGACTGATCAAGATGTGGAGAGCCAAATTTCCCGCCATATGACATCTGTCTTAAAACACTATTCATCTGAGGAAAGAAAAAAAAGAAAGAATGTTAACCGCAAATATTTCTAGATATCAAAGCCAATGGCTATTTGGTCACAGTTAACCAAACAAATAATGGTAGAAAAGCAGAATCACTCTTGCCTACATGAATTCTAAGTTAAACATAACTAAAAGTAAAACAACAGCTTCAATCATTCCAATGCACATCTACAAGATACTTGTACAAAACTACTACTTGCCCACAAAATCTAACTTAGGAGGGAAGAAGTCGTACAAAATTATAATGAATCACTGTGTGATGAACATATGAAGAGCCATGAGCTCAGTATCATTAGGAAAAGCTTCATGAAGGTGGCATATGATTGGAGTATCAAAATTATGAATGGAATATTTTAAGGAAAACATTTTAAGGAGGGAAGTATGTCAAGGAGAGAAAACTGCACAAACAAAAACAATGAGTGGGTTCATAAAATAATAGCAAGTAAATTCTGGCTGAAACAGGTTCTAAATTTCATATACAGTGAATGGAGAGCAAGGCAAGAAAGGTTTATTTGAATTAGACAATGGAAGTACCTAACAAGTAGGCTAGAGAATCCTGACATTATTTTGCAAACACTAAAAAGTCAAATCACCAGGAAGACAAGCAAAACAGAAGTTACAATATTAAATCTGAAATGGTGTGCGAGATGGAATAGTGAGGATAAAATGGAGACAAGTACTAACTGACTAGATGAGTTCCCATATTCTATTTGTGAATATTAGTCAATGATGATATTCTTTAATAGCCTACAGCAAAATGAGACAAAAGATATGTATATAAAAGTTGATATCCCCTTATATTAGTCTCTGAACGTTACTTCATTTCACTCTCATATTTTGCAGACCTGTGAAATTCCAAAGGCTAGGGGCCACTAGCTAAGATTGTGATTCAGGCAAAGAAAATAAATAGAAATGAATGCTAAAAAGAAAAAAGAAAACAACAACAAAGGACTCGGCAACTGAGAGAAAACAAAGATGAAAGAGAAAATATACCTAAGACATTAAGCCTACTCTCTTGGTGATATTATTACAGAAAAAACCTGAATCTTCAATAGGCAGAAGCTAGAAGACTCCAATATATTAAAGTATTAACAGGAAATATCAGGGAGATTGTATGATAAAAGAAAAAAGTCACTCAGCATAGGGTTGCAAGAACAAAAAAATATATTTCCAGTATTTGAAACACACACACACACCCCCAATAATTGTTGAATAAAAGTAAAAATGTTAGATGAAGTTCTATCTACAATCTTTAAATATGTCTCATTTCACACCAGTGAAAACTAAACTGTGATCAATCTATAAATATCATCCTAGTCTATCTAAAATTTAAGAAATTAATTTAGAATTATCTCAGAAATCAAACATGGAGCAAAGTAGGTGGATGTTACACTCACCTCCTCCCAAAACCAAACTGAAATTGCGACTAGAATATAGAGCAATCAACCTGTAAAATCAACTCTAGACTAGCTGAAGGAAAAGTCTTATGACCAAGGAAGTACAGAGGAAGACAGAAGGAATTGGTAAATTCTGCAGGAATATCAGCTGCAAAGATTTCCCCTGAGAAGTGTGGGGTCTCAAACCAACTCCAGGCTCCTCAGCTAAGAGCACCAGAGCTAGGAAGTGAGGCCCACATAAACATCTGGCTGTGAAAATCATCAGGGATTCCGTCTACCAGGGAGGGGCAGGAGTCAGCTGGAGGCATAGGCACCCTCTTCAAGGGCCAACGCACAAAAATTTCATACTCAGCTACTCACCCCCAGCTCTGACAGAACAGTGGAATTTATTCTGTGATACAAGGTTACAATATCTGCAAATCAGTTGATGGGATATACCGCATAAACAAAATGAAGGATTAAATAACATGATCATATCAATAGATGCTGAAAAAACATTTGATAAAATCTATTACCCATTTATAATAAAAATTCTCAGCAAAGTATGAATGCAGAAAACATATCTCAAAACAATAAAGGCCATATATGACAAACCCACAGTCAACATCATACTCAATAGTCAAAATTAAACAAGTTACCCTTAAGACCAGAAACAAGACAGGGATGTCCATTTGCACCTCATGTTTTCAACATAGTACTGGAAGTCCTAGCTACAGCAATCAGAGAAGAAATAAAAGTGCTCCAAATCGGAAAGGAAAAATAAAAATGTTATTATTTGTAGATGATATGACAGTGGATATAGAGAACCCTAAAGATTACACCAATAAAATAACAGACCTGATAAATGAATTCAATAAAGCAGCAGCATACAAAATAAATATCCAGAAATCAGTGGCTTTTTATACACCAATAATGAACTATCAGAAAGGGAAACTTAAAAAAACAAACTCATTTACAATTGCATAAAAAAACACCTTGGCATAAATTTAAGTAAGGATATAGAAGACTTGTACAGCATACTCAGATAACTGTAAGAAAAAGAAACTGAAGATACAAAGAAGTGAAAGCATATACCACGTGTTCATGGATAGGAACAATTAACACCATTAAAATGTCCAACCAAAGCTATCTATAGATCGAATGAAATTCCTATCAAGATACCAATGGCATACCTCACAGAACTAGAAAATCCCAAAAATTCATATGAAACCGTAAAAGACCCCAAATAGACACAACAATCTTAAGAAGTTGGAGGAATCATACCACCTGATATGAAAATATACTATAAGGCCACAGTAATCAAAACAGCACGGTACTGGAAGAGCATAGAGAGCCCAGAAATAAAGCCAAGTCTCTATGGTCAATTAATATTCCATAAAGGAGATAAGAACACACAACAGGGTAAAAATAAGTGTGTGATAAATAATAATTGGTGTTGGGAAAATCGGACAGATACTTGCAAAAAAAAAGAAACTGGACCACATTCTTACACCGTACACAAGAATCAACTCAGAACAGGTTGAAGACTTTAAATGTTAGACTAGAAACCATAAAAAGCTTGTAAGAAAATACAGGCAATAAAATTTCAGACAATTGTAGCAGTATTTTTCTGATATATTGCCTCGGGCAAAGGAAACAAAGAGAAAAAGAAACAAATGAGACTACATAAAACTAAATAAATGCTTTAGCACAGCAAAGGAAACCACTGACAAAATGACAAGATACCCCACTGAATGGGAGAACTTATTTACCAATGATACGCTGGATAAGTAGTTAACACCCAAAATTTATAAAGAACTCATACTACTCAACACCAAAAATACCAAAACAAACAAAAACCCCCAATTTAAAAATGGGCAAAGGACCTCAACAGACACTTCTCCAAAGAGAACATACAGATGGGCAATAGACATGTGAAAAGATGTTCAACATGACTAATCAGAGAAAAGCAAATTAAAACCACAATGAAATACCACCTTAAGTGCGTGGACCCAAAAAAACCCGGAATTTACTTATAAAAAATTGTGTATTTATTCTTACATGTTTAAACTGTAGTCACTCTCCATTTGATGCAATACACCCATCAAGACTTTTTTCCACAGCTCAAATCAGTTTTTTAACTTGTCAATTTTGATGCCTTTTAGCACTTTGGCCATTTTTTTTTGTTTCATCTCTTCCACACCAGCAAAACATTTCCCTCTGAGGACTTTTTTCATCTGGGGAAACAAAAGTGCTGCTGGGGGAAGAGATCAGGTGAGCAGAGCAGAGAGGTCATGCTGTTTTGGGTCAAAAACTGCTGAGCACTCAGCAAGGTATGGGCAAGGGCACCCATAAATCACCTATCACAAAATGGGCAAATACATTGAAAAAATCTTTAAAAAAAAATTTCACTGAAGCTAAACACAGCCTCTCACAACACCACCAGCTTATACAAGGATACAGATGGGTTCCTAGAACACTCACCTAGCGAGGGAAGCCATTACTGCAAAGGGCCTGGCCTCCAGAAGACACCTCTGGTTTTTTGGGGTCTCCCCTCATATACCTGCCAGAATGGCTATCATCAATAAATCAACAAAAAAGTGCTGGCTCAGATGTGAAGAAAAAAACCCCTCATGTAGTTTTAGTGAGAATGAAATTGGCGTAGAAAGAAGTAAGTACAGTACCTCAAAAAATTAAAAATGCAACTGCCTTATGGATCCAGCAATTCCACTTGTGGGAATACATCCAAAGAAACGCAAACCACTAATTTGAAAGAATATATGCACCCCTAAGTTCATCAGAGCATTACTTATAATAGCCAAGACTCTGAAGCAGCCTAAGTGCCCATCAGTAGATGAGTGGATGAAAAAGCTATGGTACATTTACATGATGGAATACTACTCAGCTGTTAAAAAGAAACCTTACCTTTTGTGACAATATGGATGGACCTGCAGATTATTATGCTAAGTCAAATAAGCCAGTCAGAGAAAGACAAGTAACATATGGTTCACTCATATGAGAATTCAACGAACAAAATAAACTAACTAACGAAACAGAAACAGGCTCAGTGACAGAACAGACTGATTAGCTGACAGAGGGGTTGGGGGCCTGGGTGATAAAGGTGAAAGAATGAAAGAAAGAAAAAAACCCAAAAAACTTATAGACACCGACAAGAGTATGGTGATTACCAGAGGGAAGGGGGGTATGGCAAGCAGAGGAGGGTAGGGGGAATAAATGGTGATAGAAGGACACTTAACTTGGGGTGAACACACAACCGAGTGTACAGATGATGTGTTATAGAATCGTATACCTGAAACCTATATAATTTCATTAAGCAATGTCACCCAATAAATTCAACTAAAAATGTTATCTGAATACTCTTAAGTATGATTTTTTTAAAGCAACGTATGTTGAAAAATTAACCTACCACTGCTTGTCTCTGAAAATTTTCTGGCGAAGAGAAAGATCTCTGAATTATCTGTGAAGGAGGAGTCATGTTATCCACCATCCTTTCGAACCTGAAAAAAAAAAAAACCCAACATATAATCTTTCATTCTACAAGAATTTATTACATACCAAACATAAGCAGACAAAGCTCTCAAAGGAATGAACAAGGTTATCTGCTCTCATGCAACTGGGGTAAGGATTTAGGCAGTGAGAGAGCTTCACATAGCTTAAGTGATATACTGAAAGAAAAAAGAGCAAGTAGAAATGAGAAAGATGGGGATTCTATTTCTGACTGCCTGCTCAGGAACAGTCTTTCTAAATAGACATTTGCAGTAAGAACTGAGTAACAAGGTTACCTAGAAGAAAAACACTCCCGCTGAGGGAAGGAGTACTGCAAGGGTGAGTAAACTAGAGCCTGTGGGCCAAATCCTTTTTTGTAAACAAAATTTTACTGGAATACCACCACCCTCTTTTGTTTTTATATTATCTATGTAGAGCTACAAAGGAAGAGTTAGAAACCGTAAGACCAGCAAAGTCTAAAATATTAATTATCTTCTCCTTTATTAGAAAAAAAAAGGTCACTCCGGGGGCTAGTGCAAAAGCCTAGATGGAGAACTAAAATGGAAAGGATTTCATAGATTAGACGTGATAAATAAGGGTAAGAGATGAAATTTAAAAAATAATAAAATCTGTATGTTTAGCTTGAGCAATTAAGTAGACATATACCAAGACAGGAGAAAGGAAGAGGTTTTGTGGAGTAAGAAATTAATAGTTCTGTTAAATAGAATTTTTAGGATTTTTACTTCATTCCTTACCTCCTGAAGAGATAACTTGCTCTGTAGAAAAACTCACTTAGAAAACATTATGACTTACAATGTAAACCTTTTTTGAGTTTTCTTATATCAGATAGAGTATGCTAAGGAAGTAAAAAGTATAATTTTACCTACAATGACTAGCCTTTGATTAAAACTAAAATACTTACTTGCATATTTTTCCCCCCAACAAATTCTAATGGGGGGCAGAAGAATGTATGTAAGCTTTTTTCCTCCACCTAAAATACCTTTGAAGGTTCTATGAAAGTGGATGGAGATGCTTCAAATTCCACGTATAATGAGAAGCATCTAAACACAATTTCAGAGGGCAAGAAAGGACACTAAGAGGATACCTTTTTTATACTACTGCTCTCTTACCAGAATTCCACCTTCTGATTACCTTTTCATATCCATCTACTTCTCTTCCAGCTCATGGCACCACTCTAATCCAAACCATCAACCTCAACCGAGTAACTCCCTGCCACCTTGCTACTAACACCAATACCTTCCTACCAACCAATAGCTTCCTAACTGGTCTATTTTTACCCCTGTCCCTCCAATTCATTCTCCCATTTCAACCAAAAAACTCCGTAAAATACAAACCTGTTCCTTTTACTACCCTACAGAAAACACTTCAATGTCTTCCTACAGTTCTTAAGGTAAAGTCCCAAAATGGAAATTCTAGTCTATAAGAAAAACTCTGGATCATTCAGCATCTATCTACTTAAAAACAGCATCTAGTACTCTCCATTTTTCATTATGATCTAGGTACACTGTCCTCTTGCAGGTTCTCATTCATTTACATCGTCTCTCCTTGTCACAACTTTCCCCAAGCACTTTCTACTCCTTTTTAGAGAACTAACTGAAGGAATCAAACAAGTAGTCATAAAATACATATAATATGTGCCATCATCTAGACTTTACGCTCCCGTAGGCAGCACATCGTAGTGGCTGGGCTTGAGTGCACTATCTGGGTTTGAATTCTAGCCTGCGATTTAAGAGCAAGTTTAAACTTGAGCAAGTTATCTCCAATCCTCATTTTCTTCATATACAGGTAAGAGATAATAATCCCTACCTCACAAGACTGTTGTGAGGAATACACGAAATCATAAACGCAAAAAGCTTGGTAAAGAACGTGACACATGGATAGGTATTTATTAACTCTTTCTTGAATGAAGGCCATTATGACCGATAAATATCTCTATGAATATACCAGGGAAAAAATGTTGGCCTCGCTAAAGAAAAAAAAAAAGTAAATAATAAACATGGTATCTTTTCTGACACTTGGAAGCTAGAAGGCATTTTAGAGACCATTTAATTCAACTTGTTTTACTTACAAATGGGAGGACTGGACCAGAGAAATGAGAACGAGTCAAGACTGCACAACTGGTAGAGGCAGACCTAGAATCGAATTCTAAACTCTTAGTCCAACAGCCTACTTACTAATTGCAAGTAACCAATTAGTGGTTACAAACTGATTTAAGTTTTAAAAGATGAAATGAAATGGAAATTGATTACATTGCAAGTAATAAGAATAAGTTGTGTTTTGAAAATTTTTCTTTCAGTTATATAAATGTATATGTGGTTGTTGGTACGTCTATATAAATGAATATATAGTTATATATATCTATTTTAAGGGGACCATATGTAATGTATATGTATACGTCTATAGATTCTTAAAATACATAATTATAATCCAACATAATGTTGCAGAAAAACAAATAAGTAGAAGAACTAAAAAGAAAACCACTCATTATGTGTTCTGAGATCACTATCTAAGAAAATGCCTAATAAATTATTTTAACAATAGGTGAGAAATATTACCTGCTAGGAGATGTGGAGGTAGGGCTTGCATTTCCAACATGATGCTGGGAATATGTCAAACTAACGTCCTGTGAGGCATGGCTACTTCCTAAAATAAAATAATTTGAGAAATGCTTCTTGATAAAACAATTATTTCCCCAACCCCAAATCACTCCAGAAAGTTAGACATGGGCTCAAAAGAATACCTCAGATTTTGGGAGACTGCTTTACAGTTTCACCAGAGTGAAAATTCTGTTTAATCGCAGATACATCTAAAACAAATGGTCCCAAATAGGGTAATATCTACTATATAAATATCCCCTCTGGCCATAATATTTGACCCTCACACCAAATTGTAAGACTGGATACATGCAAAGTTTCACCCTTACATGATCAAAAACCAAAACTTACAAAAGTAAATTACAAAGAAGCAGGAAAAGTATTTTCAGAAAATAATTCTTGCTTCCTTCTAACAATAAAATTTATGTTCCTTTCACTACTCCAAACTGAAATTTTAAACTCAGTTTTAAAATCACAACTTTCAAAATCCGTTTATCAATGTTACCCATTTTCTAGAATACTATTTGCTATTCACAAATCTTAAAGTATTTTCATCCAAAAAGGATTCTTTAAAATTGAATAAAATTAAAAACAAAAAATTAAAAAGGAGCTAATAATTCCTCTCTACAAATAACACGATCGAATAGTGAGTTACCTGATCTAAACTGAATTTTGATAGGCCTTCCAAAAAGTTTGATTCCATTAAGTAGATTCATTGCATAAGGAACAGATACTTCATGTTTGAAATTCACAAATGCAAACTGCTTTGGTTTACCATCCTTATCTTTTGGAATTTTCACTTTTATTACTGGCCCAGCCTATAGATAAAAAAGAGTTTACAACTTAAATAAGGCAATTTCAGAGAAATACTCCAATTTTACAAAGTTTAGAAACAAAAGAAATGTAATAAGGAACTCTTAACAAATAGACACACATTTTCATCACCATTAGAATAGAGTCTACAGATATAACTAAATATTAACTTTTGGGGGGAAAGGAAGCCCATAACGAACTAGAAACACAATCACTGAATTTACATTTCTCAGCAGTTTATGACTTTAACAAAATGATCAACATCCATCATCTTTTCCCTCCAAAGACATTAATGTTTATAAACAGTGGTATTCTTGGACCAATATTTCACTTCCGTATGGACTAATCAAATTTACCAGTGGTTGGATGATGGAACTGGAGAGAAGAGGATACTTGGAACTTTTAATATATTTTAATGCAGGTTTAAATGCAGGAGCACCACAATGCTATGTTTCTACAGAGTATTTATGTGCCTTCCAAATATCTTAATGCTGCAATTTTGTAAGAAACTTACACGGAAAAGAGATATTGACAAGGAAATTCAAATGTAACTTGTCAAGACAACCAGAGACAAACTGTCCTAAGATGGTGAAAAAAGGAGAAATAGAAAAAACACTGGTCTATATAAATGTCTACTCATTGTCGTGTACACCTGGAACTAATATCACTGTATGTCAATTGTAATTAAAAACTTAATTTAGAAAAAAACTGCTCAAGAAGGAACACATGTGTATTATGCCCCTTCAGGACCCCTGAATCTTTACCTCTGGAATGTCTTTTTGAGGATCCCTCCACCACCTTTAGTCCTCAAGTCTGGAGTGACTAGGGTTCTTTTAATTAGGCGACACCCACCCAAAACCTAAACGCGACCATCAGGGCCCAACAGGCCCACCTGAAGGGTGCCCGGACGGAGGACCACGTTTGCACAAAAAAAGCGGGGATAGCAGCTGGTCTGGGCCGTACGCGAGCGGAAAACGAAAGGAAAAGGCTCACCCCAGCCTCTTACCTGGTGGAAAAGCTCGAAAAGGAGCTCCTCTGTCACTTTAGTTTCTAAGTTGCCCACAAAAAGAGTACGGTCTGCTTCCGCCGCCGCCGCCCCCATCTCAGCGTCGCCCCCTCCCGAAAAAGGCCGAAGGGTCGCAGCTGACGCACCCACTGCGCACTCTCGAAAACTCACGTCCTCGCGCTTCCAGGCGTCACAGACGTAAACGTCAATCACGCTTGCTCTCGGCCGGCGTCGACCGGCGTTGACAGAGTGCGCATGCTCTCGAGGAGAGCGCTAGTTCAAGGCTGCTTCCGGAGATCCTGCGGCTCGTAATATGGCTTGCTCTGTACTCAGTGTTCGTCGGGCTGAACTGCCTTGGGGAGCTGCAGAAGGCCTTCCTTAACCGAGCGACGTTAAGGCAGATCCAGCGGGAAGTGTTTGAAGATGGCCCTAAATTCTGGGTTCCTGTGTGCTGGCGATCAAAGGAAGAGGGTGACCTACCGGTCTTCCCACGGCGACTTTAGTCCTTCAGCCGTAGCGTTGGCGATGGTCTCTGGAGACAGCTGCCTCTTGGCCAGACCCCAGGCGGTTCGTCCAAGACCTACTCCTCGGCAGGTGGTACGGCAAAGCATTCGGATTGAGAGACTTCAGAGTACTGGTGGAAGCTGGAGCTCACTGCGCTTTGTAAAGGAAGTACACCCTGATGGGCGGAGCCGAAGCCGAAGCGGTAGAGCGAGATTTTCGCCTTATCCGACCCCTGTGTTTAAACGGAATCTGTTAAGAAGTGTCTGACCGCCTTTGGAGGTGTTATCGCAGTCAGGCTTTCCGTTTAAAACGAACACCTCCTCAGCCCTTCAATTAGCTTGTGAACAAGACCTCTCAAATCCTTTCTTGATGCAATCGCAGTCTTATTTTTAGAAGGATGTATTTTCATTTTAATATAAAAATATGTGAAAGTCCTGTTAAAATAGACTAGGACAAATGAAACTTTTACTATTGTCAAATTCAAATGGTTTAAGCGGCCAGAATGATTAGTTTCGGAAGGAGGTAGATAGTTTTTCTTAGTCACAAAGCCAAACTATTGGGACCACTGGCCTTGGGTCAACAGTCCTTTTATTCACCCTAGTGCACTCCATTCTAACAATGCCTCCAAATTTCTCTGCTGTCCACAAGTCTTCCTTCTGTTGAATTACAAGTCTCAAAGGAGGAGAATCTACTTTGAGACTTGTAATTGAGCTTTCTTAACCCCCTACTCTCTACCTCACATTACTCCCTTTGTTTTTACTTCTGTTGATGAAAAGGAAATGCTTCGATTATCTCTCTGGTTTATCTTTCCTCCCTATGGACCGATAATCCTATTATCTTGACCTGGACCTTTACACTCTTCCATCTCCCTCCTTGTTTTATCATGAATATCTACAAACTTCAGTCTCAACCATACTAAACCCAAGAGCGAAACCTAAACCTTGCTGCTCTTTCAAATTATTAAATCCATTTACACTTCTTTCTTTACCAAAGGCTCCAAATGAATTTTTTTACTTATATTTGTCATTACTTGCATTCAATCCCAGTTTCCTTAACCCAAATCTGTTGTCCCAAAATTAACAGAAATTGGTCTTACAGTATCCTATTAGGAAGCTGTCCACCTATGTACTCAAGCATCTTTCTTGGACTTTCTTATTTGTTAATTCATTCAGCCATTCCACAATATATGAAAATCTCTGTGGTAATTACACACTGTGGATGAGCTTGACACAGTCTTGTCATCAAGGAGATCGAGGAGTATACTCTTGGAGAGACTAATAAATCAGTAGGTAATCTCCACACTAGAATGTTCATTAGCTGCAGTGATAATAAGCACTGGTTGCAATGGCTTCCATAATACGTTGCTATCATGTTCTCTTAGCTGGGTTATTGGCTAATATTTTTGTTCTGTTCTAACTATGCATTCCTCAAGAGTGGTATTGGGAGAAAGTTGGTTTTGTAAGGGCCAACTCTTCTTGTCTGTCCATTATGTTCAAGCAGCCAAATTACCACAGAGCACACAGAACTGGATTGTTAGAACTACCTGGTAAGGAGAATGTTGTGAGAGGCCTGAAAACCAGGTCATAGAAAAATGTTTGAAAGAATAAGGATAGCTACTTTTTACTGAATGTTATTTGCAAGGCAATGTGCTAAGGGCTTTTATTCAGTGTTTATTCAGATATTCATTGAGAATTTATTCTGTGCCTCCTACTTCCCATGCTAGGCACTTAGAATAAAGTGAACAAGATAGATAAGGTTGTGCTATATACATGTCATTTTTCACAACAGCTCACAAGAAATGTATTATACTTTAATTTCTTTAGCTGAGAAAACAGGGCACAAAGAGATGAAGCTCTGTCCAAGGTCATTCAGCTAGTAAAGGATAGAAACTTGCAGCCTTTCAACTTGAGTTTCTCCTTTGAACCATGTGACCCAAAATTTTCTCAATTCTCCCAAGGATATACTGTTCTAGATATCTAAAAAGATGTTAGTTTATAATCTATTATGGATGTCTTATGCCGGTCATTATGATAATCCATGGTTAAGTGTAGTGGTTAAGTATAATATAATGTCATTTTAAAACATGAATTTTCTTAAAAGTCCAAAAATTTATATTTCTGTACATTTTTAAAAACCATTATAACTTCCTGTTTGGGGGGGTTTTGCCCCTTATTTATTACATCACACCAAGCAACTGCCCAGCATGTGTTGAACTGGAGTCCTATTAGAATATTACTTCCTCTACTCATCAGCACTGAAACTTTTTAAAATTTAGAATGCACATTTGGGATATAGAAAAATAGGAGGCCAGTGAGACTGTTTTCCCTCAGTAGCCAGATTTGATGATAATCCTAATTCTAAGGAAGAAAGGAAAGGAGGAAGGAAAGAAAATCCTACAGGAGGGAAGAGGAAATAGACCTCTCATGGCCAAAGATTCAACTGCCTGGCAAACAAAATGTATTAGGTCTTTCATTCCTTCAAGGTAAATCTATGCAGATCCCACTGATATGCAGATTTTGTCTTTCCAGTTCCCATGACAAGTATTCTCATTTTCCCAGCCACCCAAATAAATTTGAATACCTGTTACTCCATACCACCCATTACGTGTGCTCACTGCCTACATCCATCACCTGCAAAAATGCTGCCATTTTATCTTCACAATGTATTTATTATGTTTTTGTAATAAGTTGCATTACCTGCGCTGTATTTAGCCTGTTTTGTTTGCCTTTGTCTCTCTATACTGTGTCTGTATATAGCTTACAGGCTAATATTTTTGATCATATAAATTCTACTCCAGTGATTCCCATAGCATAGTCCACAGAATCTCCACTAGATATGCAAGCTACTCCTTTGGAAAAAATGTCCAGAGGTCAATAAATTTGAAAATGATGTATGTTTTATCACCTTCTGAGGGAGTCATGATTTATAATAACATGTTAAAAGTTCTGGTAATACCTTTAAAAAAAGAAACCTTTCATTTGGATTTTAACCAAGGTTTCACCAATTTATTTGTCCATAAATTAAAAATTTTTGTATACTACCTGTCTTCCTGAGGAATCTGAGTTCTAAAGAAATCATTAGAAATGCTGCCTACTTAAAAAGCTCCACTTGCTCCTCACTTGAGTTACTAGAAATGGATTTGTATATAGCACGGCAGAATTTAGTGCCACTGACTAAATAGTTAGGTATCGCATGTTTTAAAAATTATTGCAACACACTAATTGAAAATCACCGACTGACTTAGGTGCATATAAATAATGTACAGAGTTTGCTTAAGGCAAAGATAAACCTTTTACTACAAGTTATATGGCTGGGGTGTGACTACCTACTATGAACTGGCCAGGGAGGAATTTCTGATCAGATCAGCCCTGCAAGATTACTTGCCACAGAACCCCTTTTTTGCTTCCACATAGGCCAAAAGGAAAAATTGACAGGCTATTGTATTGGTACTTATATATAGGTACTTAAGAGAAAAATTTCCACAAAATTTGTGCTGATGAATTTCAAAATACAATAATCAATACAATCTTTTATGTAATGTTAATACTCTTAAAGAGAAGGTAGAGTTCTTTTGGGGGGAGAATAACATTTTAAAAAATATTTATAGTTAGTGTTTGCTATTATCAAAATCAATAGCAGCACTGACTGGTGTGACTCCATTGGGCATTGTCCTGCAAAGTGGAAGGTCGCTGGTTGGACTGTGGGTCAGGGCACCTGTCTGGGTTGTGGGCCTGTTCCTGGATGGGGTGCATGCAAAAGACAACCGATAGATGTTTCTCTCCCTTTGTCCTTCCCTTACCCCTCTCTCTAAAAATAAATAAATAAAATCTTTTAAAAAAATCAACAACAAATACTCATCTGTTAATTTTTTTTTCAGCCAAGAAAGAATTTATTAAGGAGATGATGCCATGCCTGGAGTCACCTATGGCTCATGCTCAAAGATCTGGCTCAGATCATGTGATTTTTAATGAGATTTAATGTGTTTTATCTTTAAAAGTACCTGAATTTTTTTGTCATAGGTGTTGCCAAATGCTGATACCGATGTGGGGGCAATTTTGCCCTCAAGTCCCCCCATCCATGGATGAAAGTAAACACTATCAGGACATAATCTGCTTGGGGAGGAGAGGTGGCCAGTTTCTCAGAGGAAAAAGGCCAGGAGCCCCTTCCTCCAGAGGTTTTATTGGGTTATAATACACAGGAATACAGGGCAGCAAGGATCAAACAGTAGATAACATTCAAAGAAATCTAAGGGCTTAGTCTGAGTCAGAATCTGTCAGAAAAGGGGTTTTGCAGAAACTTTAGGGTTTCCTGCTTGGACCCTTAAGGTATGAATGAAAGCACTCTTAGCAAAGCAGGTTTCACAGTTTTTTTAAGGAATTCTTTCTTATGCCAGATTTACCCCAGATACCACTCTAGCAAGGCAAGGAGCTGCAACCCTCCCCATCAGGTTTTCAGGCTTAAGTGGATTAGAGCCAGTAAGTGCTTCTCCCAGAGGACATGGGGACTCGGACTACGTCACATACCCAGTGGGGGTGGGGGATGGGGCAAGGGTCCATTTCTCCCTCTTTGTCGCAGCCCCCTCAAGTCCTTCCATGATGGCCTCCCAAGTGATCGAGTCTGGCTTAGGTTGCTCTTCACTGTGAGGAGTCTTACCCGTCATCAACATCAACCATGCTTTTGGGGTCGGGGGAGGAAGCTGAGGCAGCGTTTGTTACCAGAGACAAGTTGTATTTCCTTTGTGGCTTGCAATCCGGAGGTTGCTCACTCATCCTTACCATGGGGAGTAGTTATAATTCCTGAAACTAGGCAGAGCAGTTCCCAACATACCCGTCCATGAGCATATGGTTTTAATTGAGCATATTCATTGGAAAGCATTTGCCAAGTATTGGGAATTCTATTATTCCCAATATTTGCCTTTTAGCATGTGGTTATGTTACAGATTAATTGCTTCCAATTGAAGTTTAGATGGAAGCTATACAATTGCATAGTTAAATGGATTTTTGAAATACGGAAATTTTCTTTTTACCTACATCCAGGTCTGAAAAGATGCTGTTAGAACCATAGTTTGAATTCAGAAAATGTATGTACTGCAAATTTATGTAGGTATGGAGATCTTACTTAAGTTACTTAACAGCACAGAATGCGTGTATAAAGCAGCTTGAAAGCACTTACGATTCAAACAATGTTAGTTATTGAAATGACTTTACCACAGTATAAGTTTGATGTGTAAGCACTGTTTTTCCTTATAGCTTTAGGTTTAATTCATTGAGAAACATTATCAAGCCTGCAGCAAAAGTTAATTTCCAAAGGCATTTAGTGTGATAACAGGGTTGAGGACAGTTCTTCCAACCTCTTAAAAATGTACAAACCATTCTTAGATGGAGGGCTGTACAAAAAATTGACAAACAGCTGGATTTGATCTGCATGCCTTAGTTTAGAGAGACTTTTAGTAACTACCAAAGTCTACAAAACTATTTAGTGGTGGAGTGGGGATTCAGATTTGATCAGGCAGTCTGGCCTCAGCACCTGTACACTTGGAGACTATGCTGTACTGCTGGCAGCTGGTGGCCAAACCTAGAGTGGCTCTTAGATTGTGGGTTGTTTTTTTTTTTTAACTTATACAATAATGCACACAAAACAGTGTAAAGTGCAACCAATACCTGTGTGCTTACCATCCAACTTAAAACACTGTCTCACTCTTAAAATCCTTTCTGTTTACCACACTTTTCACCTAATACAATTAATCACTCCTGAATTTGGTGTTTTGCATTTCTTGCTTTATTTTTTAAGCGCTACTTTGATTACGTGTATATCCCAAGTGCATTTCTAAGTGTAACATGGAATTGTTTTACCTGTTGTAAAGCAATTTAAACAGTGTGCTAGCTAGGTTTAAGGAGTACAATATTACAACAAAGACCATGAGTCTTTTACCCCTTTGCGTAAAGACACACGGAGTTGTAACTCAGTGATACAGCTGAAAAAAGTAAAAATAGAACAATATAAATGGCACTACGCTGCACAGATTGTTTGAAGGCTCACTTATTTTTTCTATTTGATTTTCCCAATATATACCTTTTAGTAGAATATGCATTTTCAGTTACCACCCCTCTCGTGTCTTATATCCACCCATTTCACATATTTTACTTACCTGTCTGGCCCCTGAAGCCTTTTGTGCTTGTAACCCCTGATTTAAGATGTCATTCCACTTAGCCATTTAAATGTGAAGTTTTATTAATAAGGGATTTGTGTTATATTGTGTTATAATGACGTTTATGTTATATAAATTAGCAAAAATTGATATGAAATAATATATGCGCTAATCTATATGAACAAAATAAATATAGAAAAGACTAGAAGTATTGCCAAAATGTATATCTGAGTGGTAACATTTTGTGTGATTTGTACTGTGTGCTGATCATATGTTTATGAATTTACAAAATTATTTTTGTTATATTTTTTCAAAACCCAAATCATCTGTAAAATATTTCAATAAGGTCATTGTTGTTTCCCTATTTTTTAATCATACTAATTTCTATTAGGTTATGCTGATGTTTTTCACTACTTAAATCAATCAGTTCTTGTTTTGTTATAGTAAAGATTAAAATACAGTTATGTACTGCTTAACAAGGATACATTCTGAGAAAGTCATTGTTAGGTGATTTCATTGTCGTGGGAACATCACAGTCATAGAGTCTCTTCACAAAGACCTAGCAGCATAGACTACTACACACCTGGGCTGTACGGTATAGCCTATTGTTGCCGAAGGCTACGAGCCTGTTCAGCATGTTACTGTACAAAGTAACACGAGATTTAATCAAAGGTGAGAGAAAATGATACCATTAAGAACAAATACAAGATGCATGAGACTGCTGCCCTATCACAGCTATTCCATAGCAAACATTTTTTAAGTAGAAAAAATAAACTCTAAAACGATAAAAGTGTATCATGAATACATAAATCAATAACAGTTTACTATCAGCATCAAGTGTTACATATGGCACATAATTGCATGTGCTGTGCTTTCATACGACTGGCAGTGCAGTAGGCCTGTTTCCAGCAGCATGACCAGTAGTGCATTGTGCTATGATGTTAGGGCGGCTACAATGTCACTGGGTTATAGGAATTTTTCTGCTCCCTTATAATCTTATAGGACCACCCTCATACATACAGTCTGTCGTTAACCGAAACATCATTAAGCATAACTGTACTCATGGATGATATATACAGGGGTGGTAGCCAGGTATTAGGTATTGTAGTACCCATGGACCACATGCAGCTCGGGGTGGCTAGAAATGCGGCCCAACACAAAACCGTAAATTTACTTAAAACATGAGATTTTTTTGGTGTGTGATTACATGTCACAATATATTTAATGTGTGATGCAAGACAACTCTTATTCCACTGTGGCCCAGAGACACCTAAAGGTTGGACACCCCTGGAAAATAACAAATGTATTAGCTCTGTTGAATCATTTGACTTAAACCCTATCAAAGATTGCATTATCAGAAAGGATAGCCTACGTGGCAGTTCTAAAAGTTATCCAATAGGTAAAAATTTGCCAAGAAAAAGGAAAAGAGAATTGGCCAAGTTTCCTCCTGTTGAAAGAAAAATGTATCCAGTGTAAGAACACCAACATCTAATCTGTAGGTCACCAGATAAAACTGACAAGCAAGATCTGCCTTGCTCTGGCTCCAAGCTGATGAAGCAAACATTTATCTAGCATGTTTTAGGGAAGAGAGCGTACTCACCAGCACTCTTGAGCATTCCAAGTCCCATGATTATTGGCATTCTGCTTTATGTATGAGCTTCTTGTGAGTTTGGTTAGCAGGAAACAGTCCCAGGGAATCTGATCACATTTGGAGGCCCTTACAAAGAGCTCCATGATGTATGAGGCCCGAAAAGTAAATCCTGGAACGTGGTGTCCACATCGATATTCTGCTCTTCCTGGAGGTCTTATCTAGACTCCCCTGGTTCAGCATCTCTTAGATCCCATTCTCTTCTCATACGTGCTTTGCAGGTGCAATAATGATGCCTTAATTCCACTTCAGTTTTTCAATTTAATAGCATAGATATGGCCAAAGTAAAGACTTGACAATCACAAGTGCCAATTTAAGTATTTTCCAATACAATCGTATTCTAGAAAATCCTTCTACTAACTGGGTAAATGAGATGAGATGAGATGTGTTTTGTTTTTGTTTTTTTTTTTTGGCCTGGGTTATGTATGGACTCTGACAATATTTCACATATAAATTATTCATGGCCTGCTTCACTTCTGGCAAAGCAAAAGATGTTGCCACCCCACAAGAGAATTTCAAGATTGTTGTGGGGGAATTCTGTAAAACTTGCCAAATTGGGACATGCAAGCAATTTTGAAAATAACCCAGTATGTTGATATGGGAAGGCTGTGCATATAAATTCTTTAATTATCTCTCCTTTTGGCCAAATTTAGCTTTGTGGTGTGAGAGTGGATCTGCATTTGCACTGCTGCCATGGTATTTGATGGCAGCATTCACTTGGCTCCTTCTCGGCCTGAGTTCGGAGCAATATGGCAGTTCTGTAATGTGGACACAGTTTCTATGCTAAAGCCATCCATTTTAATAAAGTAAAGGTCTAGCCCGTTGAGCCTAGTTGAATACAGCTGTTGCATTGATCTCTTCTGATGCTACAGTCATTGAGTTCATTTCCTTAATCACATTTTCCATACGGGTAAAAGCATGAAGCTGCTTGGTATCTTCCAGAGTGCATGCATTCTAATTTCAGAATTTAATCAAATGGAACTGGCTTCCTGACAGAGTAAACAGAGCAAAGTACTGTATCCACACCAGCTGCCAAACTAGCAGCCTGAATTTTATTTTTCCTTGCTTTGCTAAATGCATCTTGAATTTTTGAGAACATAGTCCAGGTTAAGGAAACGTGGCATTTTTGAACCAAGACCAGTCACTTCTAATGCTCTTCCAAAAATACATCCATTAAATTTCAAAAGTTAGGTAGCTGAATTAATCCTTTTACCGCACACATGTCTATGGCCAGAGAAGAAAACATATTCCTCTTTCCTACCGAACACAGGGATTGTGCACATAGACCCTTGCCATCTGGGCTAACCTACTAGCAGCGAGTACCTGTAAATATGCACACACGTTTCTTCTGATTACTACCTCTGTACTTAATTGATTCTTACAATCTAACTAATATCTGAAATCTTTCAGGTATTTTCTCTGGCACTTTTTATGTGTCATTCCATACGTAAATATCAAAGCTTTATTTATAATATAGGTACAATGTAGCAACCAGGACACAAGAGAGTCACTGGGTAGACTATTTCTCAAACCACTCGGCTTATGAAAGAAGGCCTGAGGAAGTGCAGAATACATTACCAACTCCTTTGTTATTTGTCAGGAACTGACCTGCCTAATTTCAGAAGCTGTAACTGCCCGCCCCCCAACCCCCCGCCATGGCTAAGGCTGAGTGAACCACCTTCAGACCATATGCCACTAAGGAGACAAGGCTTATCTCCCAGGCAGGGGTGCTGCCTCTGTTCCTTTTACTTCACCCTGCCTGGCCCCCAATGCTTGATCAATTACCCAATGATGGGTAAGATTTTTCAAGGGAGGGATGACCTAAGACAGGCATGATCATGGAAGACCCCCCAGGGAAGGACTTGGGGGGCTATAGAAAAAGGGGGTAATGAACCCTTGCCCCTCAGCTTAGAAATAGCTGGAGTCCTCATTCTGTCTGTGAGAAGCCTCCTAATCTCTTGGCTGCCTTACTTCTGATGCTCGACCTAAGTCTGAAACAATGCAGGAGGCGGGTGCCACCCTGTGCTGGAAAGGGCAGGTTCTCTCTCTAGGGCCATCAGGCCTGAGAAAGAGTGCATAAAATCCTTTGAAACCTATTTTGCTAATACCCTCAATTTATATGATAAGTGTCCAAGCAGGAAGTGAGCTTGTTCCCCAAAGTTTTATGGCCCTTTAACTATCCAATCCTGACTCAGAATAAGCCCTCAGAGTTCTTTGAATGTTATCTGTTGTTTAATCATTTCTGCCTGTCGATGACTGATGAGCTTTACATATACACCCTGTATTCCTGTGTGAATTGAACCCAATAAAAAGCTTCTCAAGGCAAGGGTCAAGAAGCTCTCCCCTTGAGAGAGTGGCCGTGCCATCCCTTTTCCTCCACAGGACTCGGTAGTCCATGTGAATTTGTCTCTTATCCACAACGCCTCAGACCCCATGAGCCAGGATGCATGCCAATTATTGCTAATTTTAATTTTCTCATCTGCAAAACAGACTCTTGTTACATGTGTGTTTTTTATTAACCACAAATATTTTGTTTATATTTATGTTACAATTTAATTTATTCTTTAACACCATACTAGTGATGGCCTTTGGAAAGGGAACATGTACTAACTGAGCACTTTATCAGTTCAGTAAGGAGACAGAAATGCAATAGCCTTCAATGGCTCTCCCTCCCCGCACCTTAACTTCCTGAAGGCCCTGGAATTTACCCTTCCCCCACTCCAGTTCACATTCCCAGGTCCTTTTTCTAGGCTAACCCCTGGTCATGTAACATTGAGCTCAGCTACCATTTCCTCCCAGGAGTCTCTCTTGTTGTTCACTTCTGTACCTTGACACTCTCTCTTTGTTTTAAATACCATCCATATGCTAAAATTCCCAAATTTAAATTCCTTGTCCAGTTTTATCCTGAGCTTCAGACATTTATGTATAATTGTTTACTCAACATCTTCACTAAACTAAACATGCCCAAACCAAAGTCATCACCCCTCCTTAAAAAAACCCAAACCTGGCAGTAACGTGGAATTAGTTACCTATTGCTGTGAAACGAATTGCCAAAAAATCTTAAAGCCACAATAAACATTTGTTGTCTCACAATTCCTGTGGGCTAGGAATTTGGGATTAGTTTAGCTGGTTCAAAATCTCCCAGGAGTAAGCAGTCAAGAAGATGGCCGGGGCTGCAGT